TTGTTCTGTTGATAAAAAACCTGTTGAAATATGTTTATCGTTAACCTGCCGTCGCCTCCCTACGAACGACAACCCTCAAAGGTCCAAACTTGTGCGAGCTAAGTATCAACAAGGCATCGCCTTTTAACGTGCAATTCCTATCATGATAATGTCATCATTGAACTCACCACCTATAATAATTGTTATATTCAAGACGACTAATATATTGAGAGCCTTATCGAATTCCCGAAAACATAACAGTATCACTTTGAGGTGAACAAAAACATAAGATTCAAAAGTTTGTTCTCTATCGCATAGCATTCAAATACATAAACGTACGACAATTTTCCATCACCTTTGATTCATAAATAGTTTTAAACAAAAATGCATCACTTCGGAAGATTCATTAGATAATCAGAAAGAATGTTCGATGAAAAAATATAATGTTTCTGTTTCAGCTTAGCAGCTGATTATGTTATCAACAACAAACGATTTCCGTCTGATTTCATGTTTGGGGTGGCAACTTCCGCTTATCAAATAGAAGGTGAGTTTCCTCTGAAGTTGATATAGGGAAATAATAAATATTTTCCATTAACAATGGAAGGTACGGGTATCACTCCATGCACTAGCAGAAAATGAAGATAGGTTGTCTTTTCACTAAAATTCTTGATGTAGAATTATATTTGATGAATTTTACAGAAGTTTAACAACTTTATAATCCAAATACATTCCATAGTTCTGGAAATCCAGAACTATGAAATGTATTTGTAGACTGTAGACTTGTTCATATGAACAAGTCTACAGTCACGGCAACTTGAATCAGAATGACGGTATAATATTTTTCTACTTTCTACTCCTCAATCTTCTAACAAAAAATGTAAAAAACTTTCAAGAAAGAACGGAAGAAATGAACTCCAGAATATAATTTGGAAAAATATTAAGAACGTGTATGGAAGTTACTTTTAAAAAAAAACTAGAAGAGAAAGCTTCTTCGAAACAACTATTTTCAAATGAACACTGAATTATGCGAAAGAAAAAGTATTTTCCAAACAATTACTTTTATATGAAAGAGTCAGAATGAAGTTTTTATGCTGACTGAGTCCTGTTTTGACACATCCCAGAACTTTTTCCTGGAATGTTCANTTTAGCAAACAAAATATAGCAACAGCTATATCGTCTTGGTTAAGAACGAATGTTATGTTTAATTTTAGTTTCTTTTTTATTTTGTTCCTTCCTATCCAAAATTACAAAATACACCTTTCAATTCACCTTTCAAAATGCGGGACCCTCGCAGACTATATTGAACTTGAATGACCGCCGATTAAAAGTAGTTTGCGGGTGCCTTGTGAATTCACATATCCTGCATAGATAATATCATGTAAATAAACTGGGTGAGAAAACAAGGATGTTCCAGCGTCTTAAAAACTGATATTTGAATTATTGGTTAATCTCCCTGGAAAATTGGTAGTGAAAAATTGATAATTCACAGTTTTCAAACTTTTCACATTCACCTTCATTCGCATCAATTATATTCGACTAATTTTCTGATAACGAATAGAAACATAGAAACAAAAAGTATCTATACTGATTTAATTTCAAGTAAATATTGAACTTTGCATCTTGAAAAATGAGCTGGAAGTGGCAAACTGTGCAAAATAATCTGAAAGATTGGACTTTAAAATCTTGTAATCAATCAAATAAGATCCAATATTAGCAACGATATTATCAATGAGACTTGAGTATTTTGATGTGACTTTTGTTCTGTTGATAAAAAACCTGTTGAAACATGTTTATCGTTAACCTGCCGTCGCAGGTATCAACAAGGCATCGCCTTTTAACGTGCGATTCCTAAGCGTGATTATGTCATCTTTGAACTCATCACCTATAATAATTTTTATATTCAGGACGACTAATCCTTATCGAATTCCTGAAAAAATAACAGTATCACTTTGAGGTGACCAAAAACATAAGATTCAAAAGTTTGTTCTCTATCGCATACCATTCAAATACATTGACGTACGACAAATTTTCCATCACCTTTGTTTCAAAAATAGTTTTAAACAAAAATGCAACGCTTCGTAAAATTCATTAGATAATCAGGAAGAATGTTCGATGAAAAAATATAATGTTTCTGTTTCAGCTTGGCAGCTGATTATGTTATCAACAACAAACGATTTCCGTCTGATTTCATGTTTGGGGTGGCAACTTCCGCTTATCAAATAGAAGGTGAGTTTCCTCTACCAAACAGAAAAGAGCCAACCGCCTGAATGGAGACACGAAAATCACTTGCAACCTTAATAGTTTGGAACATCGAAGAAAGGCTGAAGATTTGTCTATCTTTTATAGATATTTTCACGGGAGGTGACTTGGCACATTTGGTACCAAGAGCGGTATATATCAGAAATACGCAAGGAACTATGGCTACTGATCGTTTTGAAGTTCAACTCTCTTTCATTTCATTTGGAGAACTGCGTTTATGTGGAATAAACTTCTAGAGAACGATTTTCCAAATTGATTTAATCTCCAGCGATTCAAATCCAATGTTAACCGCCACTTTCGCACAGGCATTGCTTTTAAAGCGCCTCAAGGATTTTTCTGTAGTGCTAGAGTTTTATCCTTGAAAAATGTATGAATTCGTCTATCTGCAGATTAAGTTTGTTTTCAATGATATGCATATATTTCTGGATATAAATCCTTCAATAAAAGAAGATAGCCATCATCCTGACTTGGACTTGGACATAGGATTTCAAACAGTAAATGATTTCAAAAATATAATAAATTGTCAAACGTATTTTTTGTGAATAAAAAATATTCTAAGCCATACCACGAAATTGCAACTGTCTTTTGTTGATGACTCTCTGGTTTGTGATTTTTCTTGCCACTGTTGTCTATCTTCGCACTTAGTTACATCATACTGATGAATGTGTGCTTACTAATTCGTAGCAGGTGTCTACGGTTTGCTTTTTTCCTGAGTGCTGATGCCCGATAACACTTTCTCTTGGGTTGATAAAAAAATCTTAAATGCGAATAAATGGAACAAGTAATAGTTTGATCTCATTTGTAGAAAGTGTATCCAAAAAATATTTTTGAAAGTTATCTCATTCCAGGTGGTTGGAATGAAGATGGAAGAACACCAAGTAACTGGGACCATATGACGCACACCAGGCCTGAGTTTGTCAAAGACCGTAGCAATGGTGATATCGCTTGCGACTCCTACCACAAGTTCAAAGAAGACGTAGCCATCATGAAGAAGATGGGTGTGAAACATTATCGATTTTCTCTGTCCTGGAACAGAATTCTACCAACAGGTTCGTTTTCAATTCTTTAAATGTGTCCAAATAACAAAGCATTCGTGATCCAATACCAGACAGCCCTGTTTCGAACCACGGTAATAGTGCAAAAATGCATTTCTGGACTCAGTTTTACATCTCTTCCTACGAAGATGCCATCTATAATTATTACAAAATATTTCATCTTCAGATAGCAATGCCTTGCAGCTCCAAAGAAAAAATCTCGGACCGCCTCTGGGATTCATTGATATTTGAAGAGTCAGTGTTCTGATGATCTCATGAATGGCGTCTTAGCAAAGAAATATATTATCGCCTTTGCTTATAACGTCAAATCATGAATACTTTATGTAGGTTTCCCAGACAAAATCAACGAACCCGGTATAGCCTACTACAAGAACCTGATCAAGGAACTCAAGACCAACAACATCGTTCCTCTGGTAACCATTCATCACTGGGACTTGCCTCAAAGTCTGCAAAACCTAGGTGGCTTCCTTAACGCTTCAATCGTTGACTGGGTAGCGGATTATGCGAGAGTGTGCTACAAAGCCTTCGGAGATGACGTCAAGTACTGGTTAACCTTCAACGAAGCCAAACAGATTTGTATGGGTGGGTTTGGTTTTGGATATTATCCGCCAGCTATTCACTCAGAGGGTATTTTGGAGTACGTTTGTGCCCACAACTTGCTGAAGGCACATGCCAAAGCTTGGCATATCTATGATAAGGAGTTCAGAGCGAAACAGAACGGTAAGCATGACAATTGTTTGTTTTCTTATTTGTAATAATTGAAACAATTGATTATCAATACAATTTCGTTATGTTGATATGGAAATGTTCTTGCTTCTTAGGAAAAATCAATCCTCATTCATAAGTTCTGTTTCCAACAGGTAAGGTTTCTGTGGTACTCGATTCCAGTGCCTATATACCCGCTTCAAACAAGCCTGAGGATAAAGTTGCCACTGACACAGTCCTGCACTTCGAGGAAATAATTATTTATTTAGTGATTGAAAAGTAACCTTCAGAAATCCATGTTCATAGATAGAATTTCCACCTGCTTCTCTCACTTCTGACCTTTTCATTTTAGAGCTCATATACATATTCATGAAACTGCTCTCCTCCTAAGATCTTTCTCATATTCATCTGTGAAAGTGTACAATACCCTGGTTCTATTGAAGCTTACTCTTTACTGAATACATTCAAAAACATTTTCGAAAGTCACATACCAAACCCATTTTTTGTTAACTCGCATTAGATGAAATTTCTGTTCATGTCAATTTTGAATGCCACCTCGAACATGATATTTCGTTAATGCAAAGATTGTTTCTTGGAAATGATTATCATTATTATTTTCATCCATTGAAAATGAATTGCAATGATACTTTTACTTCAAGAGAAAACTTTTTTCATAATTCCAGTTGGGTTGGTTTGCCAATCCCATCTACAATGGAGATTATCCGGAAATAATGAAAACCCGTGTAGCAGAACGCAGTAAGAGAGAAGGTCGACCCAAGTCACGTCTACCAGAATTCACTGAAGAAGAGAAAGCTTTCATTAAGGGGACCCACGATTACTTTGCAATGAATACTTACACTTCTTACTTGGTGGAGAGCATACCGGATCCAGGGATCCAGGACCCACCCACTAGGTGGAGTGATATCGGAGTAAACAACTTCCAGCCGGACACTTGGGAAAATACCACGATGGAACAAGATTGGTTCAAGGTATAGCCATTTTTTACTGTCAGGGAAAAGGAGCATAATTTTGTTTTGGGAATAGGCCAAAATCCAAAGAGAACTTTGCCTTATTTTATTTTTCTTTTTTACAACTCCCCTGGGATATGGGATATGTCAACACCAGCCCTATGTCAACTACTCGCTCTTTAAACTTTTCTTTATGTCAAGATTTTTGAATGAAAAAGACATGTTTTATACAGAAAACATGCTAGTATCAAAAATAAAGCTATTTTTGCTTTCATTTCGAAATATTCAAACTTTCACTATGCGCGAGGGTCTATTGTTGGTCACACCAATTCAAACTCCACCAAATAAATCCAGATTTTCAACGAAGTCGATAAGCCTATTTGGTGAATAACCTGAGGAGTCAGATGGCGAGTGAAACTATGACAAAACTTGATTCGTTGCGCCATAGAAAAAATTATACTGGAGTCAAATCGTGGAATCTGGATGTTCAATCTACAGGACATTTTTATCGAGGAACTGCAGCAGTGTTACCAGTGTTACCACCTGATATGGAGGAGGCCTATCTTGTGCAAAACTATCTACCCTATTAATCAATAAAGGGTCTGATCGGATGGTATTACTGATACTTGGCATAACTTGAATAATTGGCAAATTTGAATAATCTCCACCATTCAGGCTTTCTTTCAAAACGAATGGTTCTATAATGTGGTTATCCAGAATTCGAGGAAACCGCTTCTCGGAACAGTTCAGTCAAAGCCTGTCTGAATCCGAAAATAAAAATATTATATTTTCAGTGCACTGGGCCCAGTACGAAACCTTGTGTCTCACCAATATTCATAAATTTTCAGATAGCGCCGTGGGGCATGAGAACATTACTTAAGTGGATCAAATATCACTACTCTAATCCTGAGATTATAGTTACTGAAAACGGAGTTTGTGATTATGGAGATATGGAGGATGACAAGAGAATTTCTTATATCAGGGTAAGTAGTGCTGATATCTTCAGTTCGTCATGAATATTTCAAAAAACTATTGACGTACACTGAAGTACATTTTTTTAGGATAATTTGAGTTACCTGCGGGATGCGATGATAGAAGATGGCGTAAGAGTTTTTGGATACACAGTCTGGAGTATCATCGATAATTTTGAATGGCAGCATGGATATACGTGAGTTTTCATCACTTTCCAGGGTGTGAAAAAATAGGAAATGCATATAATTAATTATAATACAGTCAAAAGAACAATTTGTTCAGGCCAGTCTCAACTCCATAAACTGCAGGTTAATGGACTGACCCATCAGAAAACAACTACTCTCCTGGCAATTATCACGAAGGGCATTGAATTATATCCGACAGGTGTCAGTACAGGATTCTTCACTGAAGTTATTTCTGCATATGCTGTTGGCGATACAACTGCAGCATATGCAGGAATAACTTAAGCGAAGAATCATGCACTGACAGCTGTCAGATATAATCCAATGCCCTTTGTGGTATTAGCCAGGGGAGCAGTTGTTTTCTGATGGGTGTGCAGCAGTGACTATATGTGAAAAATAACCCAACCAGCAAAGTTGTTTTAGTTCCTTCAGATCAGATGGTTTAATTGATTTTTATTCAATTTAATTTCTTTTTTTAAGCTTCTTAATAAGATCTTGTCACTAGAAAATAATTTTCACTATCAATTTATTCTCCTCAGATGTTATATTAATCGATTACATACAAAACAACTTCTAGACTACGTTAATAAAAACTTCAACACACTGTATCTTTTCACGCCTTTTGAACCTTTTCTACACCCTCTTACAAAAGGCAAGCATCAGAAAAAATACAAATTTATTGCATATGGCTATCTTTGAATGGCTTATAGAACAGACACTTAGCTTCTTACCCTCAACTGTTTCCACTTAGGAATGCAGAAAATCTACTAATAACGCTCCAACTGCGAATATT